GTGACGAAACCTCAGATGAATTTCACAAGCTCATATTAATTGTTGTGCTCTCAGGATATCAGTGTTCTAACTTCTTCTAGCATCTCGTTACGCTTATGTGTAGTGGTAACTTAAACCAATGTATATAAGTATCAAGTTCTGCGCTGTGTATTACTGATTCAATAGTGTTTCATCATTAATAATAATAATTCAAAAACCATTCATTTAAAATAATTATAATTGAATGTATTCGTACATAGTTGGCTTTCTTTTAAAATTTAAATCAAATAAAATTTATTCACAACCGGTTAAATCACAACCATTATTGTTTGTTTTTTCACAACCAAATTTTTAGGGTTTTTGTAAATATTATTCTTCAGTGAATCAATAAGTCAGCTGATTTATATCCATTAAAATGTTTAATAATGATTATGATCCATATGACGTTTATGTGCCCATAAATTCCAAAATTGTCTTCCATAATAACTTCCAGCTGGAACAACATCTGGTTCAATTTTTCTATGACATTCTTGTCTACAGCGACGTGCGTATAGTTTGCCTTCACAACACCATCCTGGTGGACAATCATAATCGGCTACACATAAATTTCGATACGATCCAATCAATTTGTTTTCAGAGTTCCTCAATTGACATTGTACTAGTATTCAAAATAAAAATAAATAATAATAATTCCCAAAAAGAAAAACCAAAGCATCTTTTTATATCATATAATGTATTTTGAAAGAAAATTCGTGTGAATACTCATCAATAGATTGAATCAAGCACTTGTCTATCGAAATAAGTGTTCTGGTAAGGAGTATCATTAAATAGCATAGTCTACATGCAAACGCATCTTTTGCAGAATAACTGTCTATCTATAATAATCGACCACTATATTAGAAAACAATTATCATAGACTAATACTATTTTATTTATCTGCTAATGGTCAAGAGATGTCTGTGTCAAATCATTTGTACCGGTTGGTTTCACCTTCTCAATGATAGTTAGCACTTCAACAGACCAGTGGATGGTGGCTAGCAATGGAATCCAGGATGAGCAACCAATACATATAAATTATTCTTAAGCTTGTTTCACAAGCCAGTGGGTATATGCGATCAGTAGCTGAGTAGATAACGTGATGGTCTAGAGTCCTGAGTGCGAGTCCCGGAGTGAACATCAACTCCAGTGATGTTTATGTTAGTTTATCAAGATTCAGGTTTAAAATTTTTGTGTGGTGGAAGTGTAACATTTTGATGACCTTGAGTTATTCGATCAGAATCCAGGTAACGCCTTACGTAGTTTGCGTAAAATTTAAAGGCTAGTGATTGGTAGCCTGTACGTTATTATTGACGAACTAAAAATTGACAATATGTGATACTCAAAATGCTTGAAATCAATAGAAATTTTTATTTTGAAACCGAAAAGTGAGTTTAAGTTGAATTATTAAACATAAGTGTTCACAAGATAAATCATATGTTAAAGTATTTGCTGAGATTCACTAAGGAGTCAATAGTGGTTCGTCAGAAAATATGTTCTCTTTATAACTCTCACTCTTAATCTCAACTCTAAGTCTCTCAAGCTTGTGAACAGTAAAATGACAAAACATCGCATCATAGCTGATGTCAGTTTGCGATAAAACCCCTAACCCTAATCCAAAAAGTTGAACTTGAACTGCAGCCTAATTATAATACTTAATCCTAATCCTTTTGAATTAGAGGCGGTCTTGTTTGCTGACAAAACTTGTGTGATGATAACCCTATTATTATAGTAGCCTGGTTGTTAAAATGTACACTAGACCTACTTTTCCACTGAAAGGAACAACTAAACAAGTGAAAGTTGATTATTCAGATGAAAGCTGTTATTTCACCGATTTTTATTACTTTACGCTGCCAACTGTTTCAGTTTGCTGATTAACTGACAGGCCGCTCAAGGTCATCAGTTGATTATCAGTTTTGTTCTACATTAAATAAAAGTTATACACAGCGGCAATTTCTAGGCTACGGAGAAAATATTAATTGGAAGAATCTCAGTTTTTTTAACAACGATTTCTTGAATTTCAGATTTGTTTGAAATAGCTTCAAACGATTTAACTGACCATAAACCATTGTCACGTTTGTTTAAGTACTAGTTACTTTGTGATTTGTATGATATATGTTTTTTGCGAAACAACTTTTCTAAAATTAAACAGTTTTTTTATGTCTTTAAACAAACTAAGATACTTAATTAAAGATATCATTTAACATTGATCAACTGACCCTGAAGTTTAAACTTTACTTCACAAGTTTTAAACAACCCTAAAATTCAATTGCTGTTCACAAAAGAATATCGGTTAAATAAGTTTCGAATAATATCGTTGCAATTATCATACATGTACAGCTTTAGAAAAAAAAATAGATAACTATTCAATATTTGAATTTAAAATTGGTTTTAGATTGTGGTCACTTAAAAATCGATAATATCAGTGCAGTTACGTTGTTCACTGGAAGTAATTTATAAAACGAGTTGATAATAATAATAATAATAATAATAATAATAATAATATAATAGAACTCATCTGGATCCGAGAAGAAACACAACCTGCTATCAGTGGTCATGAGAATAACCTACGTATAAATTTTAAAATTAGATTTTGAGGTTTAATTTTTGTTTAACTTAAGTGCATAGAATTTAGTTTTGAGTAACTTAACTTGACATTCACATTACTGTCTGCTTTATATTCGGTATGAAAATTTTATCAATAAAGAGTGATAATTTTCTCTCTTGAATGTTGAAACGTCAACTTGAATATATCTGTTCAAAATACCTGGTACCTAATGTTACGAAACGAGTAGGATTTAAGCTTCATATTACGAAATTTCTGAACATAAAAGAATAAGTTTACATGGCTAAAGGTTTACATGTACAGAAAATTCTCTTCTTTTTGAATTCAGGTCGTTGAAACTGAACGTGATAAAACACAAATCATTAAAAATAAAACGTTTGAAGTAGATAGAGAATTAAAGTAGAATCATTAATGAAACTGTACTGTGTAATGTTATCTATTATGACAAAAATATTGCACTTTCAACATTATCATGGGAGAAATAGTTATTATACTTAAGAGTATTGCTTTAAAATCAATTCAATAATATTCGTTTCATTTTTTCGAATTTTCAACCGATGCCAACTCCTGGTTCGGATTTTGTTTGGGATGTTATATCCTCAGGTCTCACTTGATAAAGGTCCTAGTTTTGGATTTTTACCATTCGCGCATGGGCCAATCAGTTCATCTTGAGATTACATTTCCCACCCGGAAAATCATTGACTGTTAATTGGTTGATGTATCATTTTAGTACGCCTTTTGTGTGTCTCCTCTCCTCATTATATAAATAAACTCGATTTGTGTACTTGTGAACCTCGATTTCCCGTCGCTTGTAGAATACACTTTCTACGCCATACCAAGAGGTCTTCCTCTACTTAGTAGGGCCTTGAACGCTCGGATTAGAGTAGCCTATCGTGTCAATGGATCATTTGTCTTCGCTCTCGTTTACCGACTAAGGTGAACTCGTGTTAGTTTCAAGCATATCAATTGATGAGCATAACAGATTTCCAACCTAGCGGTTGAAAGTCAAATCTTCTAACTACTAATCTACCAGTACACACATTCTTGAACATACACAACCAGTTAACACTAGCATATAATCTCATTTCATGATTTGCTCAAACTGAACTATTTTGTTCATTAGTATACTAAGTGTTTTCTGTACAACAACAATCAAACTCAATATTGAGTTTATTGTTGTTGTACAGAAACACTTAGTATACTAATGAACAAAATAGTTCACTTTGAGCAAATCATGAAATGAAACACTAGCATATGCTAGTGTTAACTGGTTGTGTATGTTCAAGAATGTGTGTATTGGTAGATTAGTAGTTAGAAGATTTTACTTTCAACCGCTAAGTTGGAAATCTGTTATGCTCGTCAACTGATATGCTTGAAATTATTACGAGTTCACCATAGTCGGTAATGAGAGCGAAGACAAGGGACTCAGTGACATGGCTACTCTAATCCGAGTGTCTCAAGGCCCCACTAAGTAGACGAGGAAGTCTTGATATAGCATAGAGAGTGTATTCTACACGCACCCAGAAAATTGAGGTTCACGAGCATACAAATTGAGTTTATTTATACACTGATAGAAATGTCCTTGGGAGAGGAGCCACAAATATGGCGAACTAAAATGATACATCAACCAATAACAGTCAATGATTTTCCGGGTGGGAAATGTAATCTCAAGATGAACTGATTGGCCCATGCGCGGAATGGTAAAATCCAAAACTAGAACCTTTATCAATTGAGACCTGAGGATATAACATCCCAAACAAAATCCAAACCAGGAGTTGGCATCGGTTGAAAATTCGAAAAAACCAAACGTATATTATTGAAATGATTTTAAAGCAATACTCTTAAGTATAATAACTATTTCTCCCATGATAATGTTGAAAGTGCAATATTTTTGTCATAATAGATAACATTATACAGTACAGTTTCATTAATGATTCTACTTTAAATCTCTATCTACTTCAAACGTTTTATTTTTAATGAGTTGTGTTTTATCACGTTCAGTTTCAACGATCTGAATTCAAAAAGAAGAGAATTTTCTGTACATGGAAACCTTTAGCCATGTAAACTTATTCTTTTATGTTCAGAAATTTCGTAATATGAAGCTTAAATCCTACTCGTTTCGTAACATTAGGTATCAGCTATTTTGAACAGATATATTCGAGTAGACATTTCAACATTCAAGAGAGAGAATTATCACTCTTTATTGATAAAATTTTCATACCGAATATAATGGAGACAGTAATGTGAATGTCAGGTTAAATAACTCTAAACTAAATTCCATGAACTTAAGTCAAACAGAATTACGGGGTACTAACATTAAACCTCAAAATCTAGTTTTAAAATTTATACGTAGGTTATTCTCATGACCACTGATAGCAGGTTGTGTTTCTTCTCGGGTCCAGATGAGTTCTATTATATTATTATTATTATTAACTCGTTTTATAAATTACTTCCAGTGAACAACGTAACTGCACTGATATTATCGATTTTTAAGTGACCACAATCTAAAACCAATTTTAAATTCAAATACTAAATAGTTATCTATTTTTTTTCTAAAGCTGTATATGTATGATAATTGCAGCGATATTATTCGAGACTTATTTAACCGATATTCCTTTGTGAACAACAATTGAATTTTAGGGTTGTTTAAAACTTGTGAAGTAAAGTTTGAACTTCAGGGTCAGTTGATCAATGTTAAATGATATCTTTAATTAAATATCCTAGTTTGTTTAAAGACATAAAAAAACTGTTTAATTTTAAAAAAAATTGTTTCACAAGAAAACATATATCATACAAATCACAAAGTAACTAGTACTGAAAACAAGCGTGACAATGGTTTATGGTCAGTTAAATCGTTTGAAGCTATTTCAAATAAATCTGAAATTCAAGAAATCGTTGTAAAAAGAAACTGAGATTCCTCCAATTAATATTTTCTCCATAGCTTAGAAATTGCCGCTGTGTATAACTTTTATTTAATGTAGAACAAAACTGATAATAAACCGATGACCTTGAGCAGCCTGTCAGTTAATTAGCAAACTGAAACAGTTGGCAGCGTA